CGTGGGTTCCTGACATCACCTCAGGAAGACAGAGGTCAATAAAAAAGGTCATTAATCTGGTGCTTTCTTCCCTCTTTGTTGCCATGGAAGTGAGGGAGGTACAGCAGCAAGCACTGCCAGAGGCTGTTTAAAAGAGAACGGCTTGCACTGGCCAGGAAGAAATGCTTTCTTCCCCTCTCTCAATACTCGGGCCGTCATTGCACCCGTGAGGGAAGTGTTTGTGTTGGCAAAGGCCAGCCGACGGTAGCCTTGCGGTTGACTGCTGATGGGGTGCACATGAAGGGGTTGGGGTGAAAGGGGATTGCAAGCATTAAGGAGGCTGGGGGGGGTTGGAAAGGGTGGGAGTTTTTTAAGTGGAAAACCAGGAGCAATGGTGAATTCCTTCTCTTCCTGTAGTCACTCCCACCTTTTGTCAGAACAAGGCTTTAGTGTTCTCGGCTCGTGTGAAGCCTTGGAAGTATCAGGTGTCAAACAGCAAGAGGTTGTGCTCCAACCAACTCCTGCTAATTCAGGCATCTTTTGATAGTTCTTTCAGCTCTTGTGGTGAGTCCTTAATGATAAATCAATAAGGCTTTTATTGGAAGAGTCTGACTAGCCAGGTGATCCCCAAAGTGGAATGGAAGCATCGTAAAGTGGATTGTAATATATGAGACTGAAGTGAAGTCTGAAGTTCCTTCTGACGTATGGAAAGATTTGCTCAGATAGACAGATGTTTCTGATCTCCCTTGAAACTGCCTGTCCTGCCTGTCCTGTGTGTCCAGACCCAAATCGAAAGCAGATTTTAATCTCCCTGTCCCCTCACATTCACGATAAAGGTGTTGAGTAGTTGATTGAGATGTGGATGTTGAACGGATGTGGATATTGAATCTGGACCAGATTCAAAAGCAACAGCTTGTGAGGTTTACTCTGCTGTTTTCCATGGGCCTGCAGAGTCTGCAAAAATAACACAACTTGCCTTAAAAACTTGCTTGGATGAGAAAGCAAGAACAGGACATTATGGATGCATTTTGTGGTCAATCAGACAATGTGAAACCTCACCACTGTATTTTTATGTGGGGAGTGGGAAGGAATGTAAATTAAGACACACAGCATTTAGGAACTGACCACTGGATTTCACATATATAAACCCTTAACTGTGAGGCTGTACCCTTGTAATAAGGAGATGTGCAGCATTTTGAACACAGAGGCCACTAAAACTAGTGTCAGTCAATAGTACTATGTAATTTAGACTATTGTGCTGCAATATGGTCAAAGGCAGCAAAAGAATCATTTGATGAAGCTGCAAATAATGCAAACTTACTAAAATTACTTATGAACAAAAATGTCCAGTTGATTTTTAGGATCAACTGCAGCCTGTAACAGGTAGAGAAACTAATACAGAAGATATACAACAAAAAATTATTTCAAATTACTTACAGCAAAACTAACTACATGTGTCGACAGTCATTTTTAGAGCTATAAAGGAGTGGAATTCCCTACTGGTCTCACTGCTTAAAATTGAGGGTAAAACAATGTTTAAAAAGCTAAATCATATAAAAAATATGATACATACCTTGACGTATATGTAATCGATTGCATTACATGCAATGCTGGAAGGGATCTCCGTTTTCTGCCAGACACATTACGACGTGGCACTGTGTTCCTGAACATATCGGCAAGCATTTGAGAGGTTAAACGTTGCGATGGCTGTCCGGCGCCTCCCTCATCGCTCCGATGCAGGGGCATCCTGGCTTGTTTGAGGCTCCATATACCGATGAGCACATTGCACATTGTTTTGTTCAGATTGCTTCATCCTAGCGAGAGTTATTACAGAATATTCAGGGCCTCTTTCAAGTGAATCTTCCTGTACTATGGTGGAGTTTTATGGTGGGCAGGGATGTAGATACTTGCCAGAATAGAGTCAGATAAGGTCTTTGTAAGATGTACCAAATGACCTTTTCTCTCAGTGTGATTTTTCCATTTTCAATCATGTTTCTACTGTTGTTTTATGTTTTAAATGGTCCTACCATGTTATTTTCTATCTTTCATGTTTTATTTTCTCTCAGTTTCTTTTTGTTTTTCTTCTATTTTTTACTTGTAGTTTGTATGACTTGTTTCATTGATTGTTATTGCACTATTTGTAAAGTGTAGTATGTCTACTGCTAATGTGATAGCGGCTAGTGAGGATCCTACAGAGTAAACATATAAACAAATAAACCATGCATGTGTGAATAATTGACTTGTGGTCATATTTCACATTAATACATCACCTCACAACACGAATGCTTTCAGAAACCTTTTGAAGGTGCCCCAGCTTTTGCTTTATAACCTCCTACAGTTATGGCATAATGACCCAGTGGCTATTTCTTGACAGTAAATCTAGCATGCTATGCTCAACCAGTGAGCAGAGGGCACCTTTGGCTGCATGCCGTAACTATCGGCTGAGAGCCTGTTTGTTTTTTTCACGGTCAGACGTACGGTTAAATGTTTTGCATAGCGGGCAGCTATCTGTGGAAATAACACCTCTGTTTCACCTAAATAAAAAGAAAAGCAAGAAAACAAACTCTGCCCACTCATCTGTTGCAGTCCAATTATGGCTTAAATAACCATAAATGGGTCTATTTGTTTTGATATTATCAACCAAGGTTCAGCAATATTCTTTTTCCATCCATTTTCCTGTGCTGTTGGTTATTTGCCATTATTTGCAATATGTACAACAGCAGTTTTCAACTTGTGGGCCATGGCCCCCAAGTGGGCCAAGGTGGTACTGCCAGGGGGGCTTTGGACATTAGTTGTTTTTTTAAACCACAAAACATTGCTACATCTAGCAATTGGCAGCTAAGAAACAATATCAGCCATGATATTAGGTGAAGCAGAAAAAACACTGGGTTGGTCGCAGAAGCTTCTGTGAGTAGTTCTGTGGGCTGCAAGGCACAAATGGCTGGCAACCCCTTCAGACTGCAGTGCTTTTATAGCTGTTCAATGACAATTATGGCATCTTTTCAAGCCAGTTTGCATTGAGGTCACTGTAGTTACGAATAATAAGCCTTTGTATGCAATAAACCTGAGATTTTAAGGGTTAAAAAATTCTTTAAAAAAATGTTTGATTTTTTAAACTTTCATATTCAAAAACATGAAAATGTCTGTCTTATCTGTAGTGAATCACCTGAATGCAGCTAATAAAATGGCACACATTATTTGGATTTGGATTTGGAATGGATCGAGTACATATGAAAGGCTTTATCACATACATATAAAACTGTGCATTGTGTTTATTAGGAAAGCTATGTTAGCAGTGGGTTGTTTGCTTTTCTATTTTATTGTTGGGCATTTTCCAAAAGCTCAGACATAGAGAATCAGCAATAAAGCCTTTTTATGGACCTGCAAAAACATTACATAACACTTTCACCTGTAGGAGGCTCGCAGGCCCTAGAGTCTCCAGTGAAGGCTTAGTAATAGGATTTGCATGTTGAAACACACAGTTCACTATCCAAATTTATGATCCAGCATGTTCTTGTTTCTCTGCCAGGGATAGTCATGGGCAGCTTAAGTCAGACTTGTCCTTTGTCCACTTTTTCTTAGTTGAAAAATACATACAGGTCTAACTACATAGACATGGTGAATTCGCTAATGTAAAAAACTGATAAAGGCAATTAAAGCAAGGCTTTATATGTGTTGATTATTTCACTGCATTTGCTGTCACTAAGAATTTCACAACCGTACACCTTTCACAACCTCCCACGTAAGTTCTCAGTGTTTATGCACAGATGATTGCACTTCAGCATTTATCAGTTGTAAAGTTGCAGCTACTATATTTGAATTTTGGTGTAAAAAGATTTAATACCAGCCTTCACTTCAAATTTTCATAAAATGAAGTGCAAATTTCCTTTACATTAAAGATGTAAGACATGCTAAAATGAGAAGTAGGATTAAATTAATGGTAATACAATCAACAACACCACCATCCACAAATGTCCAGCCAACAGTGTTCAGCACAACACACACTAACGCAGCACCACTGCGTCAGTGTTACTGCAGTGCTGAGAATGATCCACCACCCAAATAATACCTGCTCTGTGGGGGTCCTGTGGGGGTCCCGACCATTGAAGAACAGGGTAACAAAGTATGCAGAGAAACAGATGGACTACAGTCTGTAACTGTAGAACTACAAAGTGCTCCTACATGGTCAGTGGAGCTGATAAAATGGACAAAGAAACAAGGCAGTATTTTTGATGTTATGGCTGATTAGTGTACATACAGCACTGTACAAGTCAGAGTCAGAGAAAAAAATCCTTCATTTATTTAATTTCCAGCATTATATCATGTATAAATTATTCACTGTTTGGCGTTATGAAAAGCAAATAACAAAAGACACCTAACAGAAAGTAACACCGAAGCCTCAACAACTAAATATATCATTTTTTCAGCATTTAGTGTGTCATTCTTTGCTTTATTACAGCTTCCATTCTTTTCAGGAGACTCACTTTCAGTTTCTCAAAGAAACCTGCAGGGATATTTTCCCACACCTCAAAAGTTCAGTCTTAGAAGTTGGTTGCATTTCCACTAATCATGATCCAACTGATCCCAAAGTCTTTTTTTCTTTTTTTTTCAGTAATGACCTCTTGACATCTACACATCTTTTCATACCTACAGCACAGGTTTTTAGACACTGTTTAGGAGACCAAGGGTTAAAGAGTCAAACCAAGCACACACAGTAGACTGTCTTAAAGAGCAATGAGATTAAATCTAAACCATGAGCAAATATGAACAAAAAGAGAGGTTCAAAATGAAGGTCAGCAGTGGCTCTTTTGAGTAGCAGCTTTTGCAAAACAGCTGCACTGTGTGAATCCGGATGTAGCCAACACTATTCATAATAAGTGCTATTATTTACATGATTCTTTCAAACCAGTTAGGTGTGGCATGCCAAAAGGATATGAGGGATATGGGATCAAATTTTGTTCGCTATCCTATCTGTGCGGTTATACCTGCTCTCTCTTAGGAACTGACCACTCTCTCTCTCTCTCTTCCTCTCTCTCACTGTATATGTTCCTGCCTGGCTATTTTTGTTCATGCACCATGTGAACTCTGGGAAACGCTGTCACTTTGCTCTCCTGAAGTGAGTATTACTTCTTGTTTTGACTTGGTCACAGGCTCACGGGCGTTCTCAGTGTGCTAATTCAGTGGAGATTATGATAACAGAATCTTTTGAAATATGTTTTACTTGAGATCTCTTAAAGGTTAGAATGTTGGTTTAGCTGAGGGTGATGTTGCCTTTGCTTAGTTTTACCCTTAAACTACCCTTGAAGTTATAACCAGCATGCTGTAATTTTATATGAATTATTTCTCACTCACAGCTCTTTGAGAAACTGTATGGAAAACGTGCTGATTCAAAACTTTCAGTTCATGCCACATTTGTGTTTGTAGAAGAGGAAATGTTTTAGTATGTTTTGAATTTGAAGTGAGTTTGATTGTGTTTACAGTCTTTTGTAAATTTGACTGTGAATTTGATTGTGTTTGCAGTAAATTAGCCATGTCTCTGTCATTGTTTGATAGCAAAAAGAATCGACTCAAAGCTGTTTTTATGGGGTGTAATTTAATTATTATGTAACAAGGGCGTAGTTACTGGGTGGCCTGAGGGGTCTAAGCCACTCCACTTGGAAGCCCGGTCCTCCCCAGATTTCTAACTATTAAAAGTATAGTTCTTTCATACCAATGAAAATATTCCAAAACTATGAGTTTTTTTTTATTAGCAATGGTGCTAAGTTTTTGCATCTTCATGCCATTTCATCTTAAATAAATAAAAAAAACGAAGCTCTTCTTTGATCATCACAAATATTCGGCAGATACTATCACCATGGCTAAGTTTACACAGCTGCATGTCACCAGCACATTTTGGTCACACTTTATTTGGATGGTCTCCTATAGATGATCTACAGATACTTAAATCATTAACAAACTTTCTGGTGCTGCTCAGTTGATTATGAACAACACTATGGTTAGGTTTAGGGTTAGGAGTCAGTGTAAGTTTTGCCTTGACATTAGGGTTAGGGTTAGAATTAGGGTTAGATTTAACAGAATCTTTCACATGCAACTTCAAGTTCAGTTGCATATAATAGATATTTAGTTGAATGTTACTTAAAGACATACTGAGTATCTACAAGGCGTCTACAGTGGACCATCCAAGTAAATTGTTACCAAGATATTTCCTCTGCAACATGTCAGTGAGGCAATAGCTTGATTCCCTGTTTCAGCTGATGTTGAGAACTGTGATAGTTTCTCAGAGGCTACTTTCCTAGTTAGCAAGTAGAGGTACCTGACTGGGGAAAAAGTAGCAAGGACACTACTATCTTCAACCACTACTCCTACACATCTACTCCTAGTGCTTATCTAAAAGTAATAGTAACACATAAAGCAAAACAATGATAACAGCAACATTAGCTCCAGACTTTAAGTTTCAATCCACATAATCTCTTAGGCGAGCTTTACACAGTGAAACTTTCATGCATCTTTAGTTGCTTGAAACCTACATGAAACTAAGTTGTGTTTTAGGTTGCAAAATGTAAAATGTCCAGCAACTCACTTGAAACTCAGATGCAACAAAGCATCCCAACAAGTTTCATGAAACAACCTATCAAAATGGCAACACATCATGAACGACATGTTTTCAAACATTTCATTTCCTCAGATGAATCGAGCAGAAAGTAAAAGAGAAGAAGGTTTACTAAGTGGTTAAAAAGGAGGCCCTGCTACTCACTTTATGCAAGGTTGGTAGTTTATAATTTTGTCGGTTTCCTGGGACATAACAGCAAAAGTGAGTTTCTCTAAGCTAATGTTTTTGTAACCAGCTGATTTAACTAGCAAACTAATGCTAAAAGCTGTTTAAAAGGTTTTTGCCAGCGTTTCTCCTCTCTTGACAACCTAATTTTCATGCAACAAGCAAAAAATATATATGAAGATATAAATTTGGCAAATGTGTAGATTACACTTTGTAGCAGTGTTAAAACCAGTGTAAAAACAAGCTACTAACTTGGTTAACTGGTGGTTAATGTAATGTGTTTCACGCAGCTTTAGTTTAACTTTAACTGTGAAGTTGCATGAAAATAAAATTGCAAGCAACTCACAAACAACATAGAACTAGTTGCATCTAAGACAGCTTTACTCTTTGTGTTCTATTGGAAACTGGCTGCTGCTGATGGAGTGACACATCAGGCAAAGGGTCAGGCAGGCATCTCGTAAGAAGAGAAGTGGGGAACAAAGTCTTTCCGATAGAAAATCATTTCCATGCCCATTCCCGGCCGTCCATTCTCTGACTTTAGCCTTTCTCTGACTGATCCTCATAAAACGGGGGCTTTACAAAAGAGAACATAAACATGGAAGGGAAACTTAGTTCTGTAACCCTTTAATCTTCAACCTAGTCTCCTGCCAAAAGCATATTGAGCAAATTCTCATTTGTATCATGGAGAGCCAGTGTTTAAGCAAGAATTCAAATAAAGCCTAACGTAAAGCACGCACAGGCGGCCTGAGGAGCAGATGGCGTCTAGGTTGCGCAAGGTCATGTAGGGCTGATATATTTTGGGCTATCAGCACCAGACTGCTGTGCATGGCAAATCAGAAAAAAAGAAAAAACAGAAGAGGAAGAGAACGTTTCCTTTAAATTACTTCCATGGTGTTTTCAGTGCCGTTATTCAACAAAAGCCAAGCTGCCTCCACTGAAATCACCTAATCAAGTGACTCTGAACTGTTCTCAGGACGAACCTCAGACATTTTGGTTTGACTGGACCAGTTTTGAGACTGAGATCTGCCTTGAGGTCAAAGGGGTAACAGGTGAGTACATGTGTGGTATCGTTTTGACAATGTTTTTCTGAGACAGCAAGTCAAAACCAAGAACCGAGAGCTTCTCCGTTGTTCACTACTGAAGAGCGAAAACACCCGTGAGACTAAACAATCACATAAATCCTGGGCTTGTTTACAGGGAAATGCAAACACAAATGCAAATAAGAAAACTATAACATCTTTAACTAGGATCTAACATCAGTGCATGCAAATATTGTTCTGAAATATGCACATGTGGACACTAGATGACAATGCATGTTTTTTCAATGAGGTGATGCTTTTTAGCTACAACCTCCCATAGTTACCTACTACTCTGCGCAAATGTTTGCTGCTGGGCATTCATTGAGTGTCTTGATGAGCTGGGAATTTTTTATTTATTTATTTTTTTGCAATATATAAAGAGTTTCAGGGTGATATGAAGCAACCTTTGAAAATATAGTAACACTTTCTATAAAGTCTATATTTATAAGGTATTGTGAATTGGCGTATGAGCTGGTAACAATGCTTTATATGCATATTTATAAACGCAAATAATGCCTCACACATCTCTAAGAATGAACTATAATTCATTCTTCAGTGACTTATACACATGCAGTAACCCAAGGCTCAATATTTATTTTAGTCAATGGCATCTAATTTTTTTTTCCAAAAACAGTTCATTAATTGAATGACTAATTAATGATAATCAATGAAAAACACATTTTTGCTTTCTCAGCTTTTCTATAACTTTCACATAAGTTATGATGTATCATTGATTGTTATGGTCTAATAAGAAGCTGCCTTCTAAATTTCTATCCGTTAACCCCTTAAAATCCCAGGTTTATTACATACTGAGGCTCATGATTTAGTAATTACAGGAACTTCAATGCAAACTGGTTGAGCTGTAGGTTATAGAATTGTGTAATGAAACTTCATTTAAGGGATTAAAGCATAAAGATTTTCACATTATTTCCACAAATCTTTGATTTCTTTTCACATTCTGACTGAATGTAATCAAAATAAAGTGACATGCTAGTTTTGATAAGAGCTGCGCATGAGATAAAGCATAGGCAAAACAGGTTCAAATGCAGGTCCTAGCTATTAAGCAGATAAAAGACATAGTAAATGGTAATTATTTAGGGTAACAAGGTGGTGAGCACAAACAAACTCACACTAAATGAACTATTATGTATTTTACCCCTTATAGTCTCAGGCTCATTACATACTAAGGCCTATTATTCAGTAACTACAGGGACTTCAATGCAAACTGGCTGAGCTATTCTTAGGTTATAGTGGTGTGTAATAAAACTTTGGGACTGCCGGTGAGCCCTGGCCACGTAAGGAGTTTAGCAGGAAAGTAAATCAGAAATGCTCCCAAGAGCCAGGTAGTTACACTATACAGTATGTTCAAAAATTTGTAGACACCCACTCATCCAATATTTCTTCTGAAATCAAGGGTATTAAGAGAGAGTTTGTTCCCTTTTGCTGGGAAAGGTTTACACAAGATGTTGGCACATTGCTATTGGATTGCATTCAGCCACAGGAGGATAGTCCTCCATCATTCAAGAGAATGCAGTTCCACTGCTCCACAGCTCAATGATGTGGGGCTTCATACCCATCTGTTCAACACTTAGCGTTGAGTATGGTGACCTTAAGATATGTTGGGCTGCTCCAGAGCGTCCCATTCTTTTGGTCTTCCATGGAGTTTATACGAGTGGTGTGCACAATTGAAGCCCAGTAAAACCACAGTGAGAATTATTGCTTTCTGTTGCAGCCTCGATTCACTTTTGTTTACAGAAAAATAAACTGTTTTTGAGGCTTACCAGTGGTTTACATCCGGTGGGTTACCCTCTATATTTGGTGAAGTCCCTTAATTGTTGCTTCAGACACATCAAGCTCCTGGAAAGGGAGTTTTTTCTCCACCAGAGAAAAATTCTCCTGTCATCCACCACAGTTGTTTTCCATGGTCGCCCAGCTCTTTTGATGTTTCAGAGCTCACCAGTGTGTTCATTCTTTTTTAAGAATGTTGATTTTGCCTTTTTTGGTCATTGATTTCTCAGTCTAATGATAGCTTGCTTTACTGGCAGTGACAGCTCTTAGGACTTCATATTGACAGTCAGCAGCAACTGATTCTAGATGCAATCAACTGTAAACCTTTTATCTGCTTAATAATAATGAAGCAATGAGGGACCAACTCACACATTGCCATGGAACAGCTAAGCAGCAAATTGTCCAGTGGAGGTTGTAATTCCTATACTGTTCACCCAATTTAGGTCAAATATTATTTACTTTTAACTCTAATATACTGTGGCAGACAGCTAAATGACAATAAATTCCAAATATACAAATATTTATGGACCGGACTGTAACTACATGGTACTTTTACCCTAAATAATTGCACAGTAATGTAAAATCTGTACCTTACACTTTCTTAGTTGATATCTAGAACCTGTTGAGTACTTCAGTATAACTTGGTTAGACTCTCCAAGAACTTAACATAATGTCATCTATAAAAATTACCTAGTACTTTAGAGTTTGTACCTCATGCTTACCTGGTTAATAATTAGAACTTAGGGGACTGTAAAAGAAAGCATTGCTCTTATAAACTTGACAAAGAATTTGTTATTAAATAATAAATAATAACTCATTTCTTTGTTTTCCAGATTTCCTTGATTTTTTATTGCCTAAAACAAAAATTGACAAAGCCAATATATGTCCAAGCATTTGTGTCATTCTGTTCCTAAGGTCTTCTCTTTTGTAGGCTAGGTTGAATATGAACTTTATGTTTTTATTCCCACTTTTTCAGCACCTGTTCTTGAGTACAATAATGTAAAACGTGCCCTCAAATTTCACTTTGTCTTTTTGATAACGCACCCTTTTATTGGTTTACATTTATCCAGAGAAACCTTCCAACTCATGGAGCTGTCAGCGATCCCAGTCCACTTCAACAACCAGACCAATGGAAGTGCCACATGTTCCCGTGACAATGTGCTCAAGACAACTGTCTTCCCTATCCTGTATTCCCTCCTCTTCCTGGTAGGACTGTCCCTCAATGCCCTGGCAGTGTGGGTGTTCTTCAGCATCCCCAGCCGCTCCCACTTCATCATCTATCTGAAGAACATTGTGGTGGCGGACGTCCTCATGACTCTCACCTTCCCATTTAAGATCATGTCCGACTCCAACATGGCCTCCATCGGCATCCGTATCTTTGTCTGCCGGGTGTCTTCTGTAATCTTCTACCTCACCATGTACATCAGCATCCTCTTCTTCGGCTTGATCAGCATCGACCGCTGCAGGAAGACTCTCTGGCCCTTTGTGGGCACCAGTGCTAAAAAACTTGCCCACAGAAAGCTCCTCTCGTTTGCCATCTGGGCAACCCTGCTGGCCCTTTCGTTGCCCAACATGATCCTTACCAGCCAGCCACCTGCTTCCAAGTATTTCAAGTGCAGTGAGCTGAAGACTCCACTGGGGCTGAAGTGGCACGAAGTGGTCAACCACATCTGCCAGGTGATCTTCTGGGGCAACCTATTCGTTGTAATAGTGTGCTACACGCTCATTACCAAAGAGCTTTACAGGTCATTTACACGAACCCGTGCCCAAAGTGGACCAGCGCAAGGGTACACTGGGGGAAACAATGCCTCCCAGAGGAAGAAGAAGGTTCGAGTGAATGTATTCCTTGTTCTGGCGGTGTTCTTCATATGCTTCGTACCCTTCCACTTCGCCCGGGTGCCCTACACCATGACCCAGACGAAAGAGCACTTGTTTGACTGCCGACATGAACTGATCTTCTACCAGGTGAAAGAGAGCACACTGTGGCTGTCCTCCCTCAACTCACTGTTGGACCCGCTCATCTACTTCTTCCTCTGCAAGTCCTTCAGGGACTCCTTGTTCAATATCTTACGGCTCTCACCAGGGAGGTGTAGGGTACTGCAGGACAGTATGGACACCATTGCACCTGGTAGCCCTGAGGGAAACCCCATATGAACTTTTTTTCAGAATGACAACAACATAATGAAATGTGATATAGGCTACTACAACTAATCTTTACCAATAACTCAACTCCTGGAATATGTAAGATTTTTTGCCTAAATTCACAGGACATATCCTTAAATAACAGAGTACTTCTTAGCAATAGCTATGACAATTTGCTAACACTTTACTGTTCATTCTGCAGAGAGAAGCCATAATATTTGATATCATGACAGCTCACTAGAGTACACAATAAGAACCAGCCTCTGACATAAGCTGTCATGACAGTCAATTCCACTTCAAAACACTTCAAGACAGTAACTCAGGTATCTGAGATCTTCTAAAGATAAAGTACAGTCTGGTTTAAGTGAACTGCTTTTGAACTGTTGGTAACACTTTGCTTGACCTCAGCTAAATATAACTGGCATATTAATACCATAAATGTCATTGCAGATTTATGGTAACATGACAACAGAAGTTGTTGTGTTACTAATATTTGGTTGAAATACTATTACCATGACAGTTTAGTCCTATTGTACAAGTTGAATGCTTCTTTTCTGTGACCAATCATGTTTAAGCAACCTACAGCTTTTCATGTTTAAACAGTGAAAACATTATAAAATCTACAGTACTTTAACTGTAAAAAGACGTTGTTTACAAGATTCTAAACCTTCAACCTCTGCCTTACATATCTATGTGCAAACTGCATGTGCACATTTTCCAGATATGATTTTTTCTAA